CTTGGGCACCCAGTACCGTCGCTGCGGGTGGCCCCGAGCCCGAGGAGGGGCTGGAGCCCTTTGCGTGTGCACGTCTGCTTTCACCCTCTCTTTACTCCTGCGATTTTAATTCAAACCAAATGGCTTCTCTCAGTTTACTCCTCCGTGGAAATGAGGGGTTGAGCTGCCAGGCCAGTCCCGCGCCAGCCAAAACCCCGCTGCAGTTTAAAGAACAATGGGGATTATTTATTTTTTGCATATAAAAAAAATATATAATAATTCTCATTATTTGTGTGGGTTTGGCTTTGAGTTCCCTACCTCAGGCTGCGTTGGAGACCCAGCATCAATGCAAATCTGAGATGATATTCCCTAGCCTGGATCAGAGTTTTTGGGTTGCACCAAAGCATGATGGGGTTTGGGATCAGGCTTTACTGGGTGCTACCGAGCTTTCTGGGTTGGGGTTTGCTGGAGTAGTGCTAGGAGCTGCTGAGAGCAAGAATTCTCCTTGAATTCTCCTTAAATTTCTGGGTTTCCTCTCCAAAACCCATCTCAGTGCTCTGGGAGCTGGTGTGAGGCCAGGAGGGGTTTGGGGTGGGTTCTTGAGTGACCAGGAGCTCTCTACCACTGGGGATGCAGAGGGAGAGGGTCAAGGATGCTCCTGAGTTGAGTGGGTTTCATCCCTGGAGAAGAGCTTTGGCAGCTCTGGGATGCAAGATGCTCCTGAGCTGGGTGGGTTTCATCCCTCGGGAAGAGCGCTGGCAGCCCCGGAATGCGGGATGTGATGTTTGGAGGCTGACAGCAAACCGCACCCAGAGCCGTGGAGACCTGCCGAGCCAGCCTGATGGTCTTCATTATGGAGCAAGGGGTTGAGCTCAGGTCCAAGATCAGCGGCCAGAAGGGAAACCTGATTGTTAGAATTAAAATTAAAAGCTCCGTAGGGGAAGAAGCAGTTTTTAAGGTCTGTTTTTAGGAAGGGGAAGCGGATGCTGTTTGCAGCCAGTCCTCCGGCCGAAGGCAAAAACAAAGCCACGAGGCAGAGTTTTGTAGCATCGTGACCCATCTGGCAAAGCCCAGAGCCATCCTGAAACCCAGAGCTGCCGGGAGCTTTTGCTGTCTTTCCCGAGTGATGTGCCTCAGTCTCTAGTCCTTCAGCAACCAACTTCTTTCTCCAGCCATGGAGGAAACCATGGGGTCAAGGAGGGGCTGATGGGATGAACCCTTTGGGGTTGGGCTTCCATGTACAAGGACCAAGGAATGGAGAGGTGTCCAAGCTCTCTTTGTGAGGAGATGGGGTTGCACATCTCAGTAGGGTCCCCACCTCCATGGAGTGGTTTCTGATGTCCCGTTCTTCTCCATCCCTTGCAGTCTCCAGGCCGCAGACATCCCCTGAGGACCTGAAGGTGCTGATGGGGAACGTCAACCGCCTCAACGAGAGCTTTCGGGACATACAGCTGAAGCTGCTGCACCTACCTCTGAAGGGGGACGTGCTGGATCACATCTGGAGGCTCCAGGACCTCCTGCAGAACCACTCGGACTCCTTGTTCCTCATGACGGGGTCACTGCAGAAGCTGGAAGGGCTTCTCTGGAGCCTGCAGACCCAAGCCAGCCAAACCGACAAGGCCGTGTCCAACCTCTGGGACAGTTTGACCCAACAGAGCGACGCGGCTCAGCAGGAGATGTACAAGCTCTCTGTGGAAGGCAACAGCAGCCGGCTGCTGCTGCAGCACCACGACCACCTCCTGAGCCACCTGGGCAGCAGGGTGGAGAGCCTGAGCGACCAGGTGATGGCCGTGAGCGGGGCCATGGACACCATGAACAGGACCTTCTCCTACGACGTGAACATCCACCATACCCGCATCCAGGACCTGCAGGTGCTCATCAGCAACGCCACCGAAGACGCCCGGCAGATGCGTCTCATCCACATAGCCATGGAGGAGCAGCTGAAGCACGAGCTGGCCATCCTCAACAACGTGACGGAAGACCTGCGGCTGAAGGACTGGGAGCACTCTGTCGCACTGAAGAACATCTCTGTGATACGAGGTAAGCGCTGAAAACCTCTCGTAAGCAGCTCCCTCGCTGGTTCATGAAGCTGTTGTGAAGAGGGAGGTGTCCTCGGTGCTTTGAGGGGTGGTGGAAATGGTCCCTGGGGCACGGGGATGTGCAGTGGGGATGTCTCAGGTAGTTTTTGGTGTAGCAAATCCACCAGGCACCAACATTTAGGTGTCTGTGGTGTTCAGGTGACTCCATCACCTTGGATTCTTGGACTCTCCAAATGCTCCTCGGTCATATGTTAGGAAGAAAGCTCCCAAGGTTCCCTCAGAGATGCCAGGAAAAAGCTCTGCCAGGTCCCTGCTGACCATGGGAGTGAATCAGACCAAGTGTGACAGAGACAGTGGGGTTTTGCCCAGCTTCAGGCTCCAGTAATCAAGCAAAGTGCTGCCCGCCAGGACCCTCAGTCATCCCCAATCGCATAATTTGCTTTACTGTACATCCTTTCTACTTCGTTTTCCATCTTCTCCTCCTTTACCACCCTCAGACCCTCTCAGATCATAGAATCGTTGAATCACAGAACGGTTTGGGTGGGAAAGGACCTTTAAAGACCATCTAGTCCAACCTGATCCAGGTTGCTCAGAGCCCTGTCCGACCTGACCTGGGATATGTCCAGGGATGGGACTTGTACCACCTCTCTGGGCCACCTGTGCCAGTGTCTCACCACTCTCATCATGGTGAAATAAACAACCTGTCCCTGCTAAATCTCGTGCATTGACCCTAGATTTCCTGATACTTTTTTTTTTTTTTTTTTTTTTTTTTTTTGTATTTATATGGTTACCTTGGTAATCCTCCTCTTGGTCTGCTAAGCATCTACTCCCTTTCTCTTAATTATCTGCAGGGTCCAGCCATTCGTCACACTGTTATCTCGTGAGCATAGCTATCTGGCTTAGACCTTTCTTCCTCTCTGATGTTAGGAATTTCCAGCTGCTTCATATCTTACTGTCTTGCTGCTGCGGGATCACTCACTTCTCTGCATCCCACAGCATTAGATCTTCTAGGACAGCCCATCTCCAAGGGGAGCAGCTCAGGTGGAGACACCTGCACTGGAGAAACCCTGCTGTGGTGGGTCTCAGTCTGGTGTGACTGGGGAGCAGCAAGAGGAGGGTCCCTCTGTGCTGTACCAAGAGAGACGTGACTTTTGCTTCAAAGACCTTGGAGGCTGAGATAGGAGAGGGAGGGAAGGGAGCTGCTCTCCTTGGGAGCAGCTTAGCGTCCTGGGATGATGGGGAAGAAAAGGGCAGGGGTCTTCAGGAACAGGGAATGGGGTTGTGATGGGAGCCAGCAAAGTCATGAGCATCTTCCTGATTTATGGCACAAAAGCAAGGAAGAACCTGGTGAAACGGTGGGCAGCAAGCACAGGAGAAGCTCAGCCCTTTCCCAGACTCCACCTTTTCACCCAGCTGGAGCTCTTTGCTGCAGGACTTTGTGGAGGCAAAAAAAAAAACCCCAAACAGATCCAAAAGGAGCTGGATAAATTCATGCAGGGAACATCCGTGGTTGTTCAGTGCCATGACCTGGTCACAGTCCCAGCAAACACACTGGCCGTGGAAGGGGTAAAAACCGTGAAGAAACATGGAAAAGCCCAGTGCAAGCTCTTGGGGGCAGAGCGAGAGGTTGGGGGGCAGTTGCTGTCCTACTTCTAAGCGGTCGGTTTGTGGCAATGGGTTGTTTCTTGCTTCTGGTGCTTCCAGCTGGAAGAGCAGATGGGGAAGGACGGGGCTGCCGCCAATGCACTTGCTCCCTCTGGCCATCTGCTGAGCCAGGAGGGGACAGATGTGATTCGAACTGCAGCAGCCACAGCTCCCCAAGCAGGCCACCCATCACCCTTGGGTACCAGCAGCTCGCTGGGGACATTTCCTTGGTCCTTGGGGGACGTTAGCTCCTGATGCCTGACTTGGCGCTGCTGGGACCGCCTTGCACCCACTGCTTTGAGGCTTTTCATAGCTGCCCACCCCCTCCAGTGTGCTCTCTTCCATTCCCACCACTGCCACGGGAAGGATGTCACCCTCTCTTGCATGAAGCCACCAAGGAAGGGGACCGTCACGGAGCCCCACATCCACGTGTCATGTTACTCCAATTAACGCAAGCAAAAAGCAAAACAAATCCCCTCCGGGTGGGCCGGCACTTGATTTATCAGCCGCTGCCCTGACGCATTCCTGTCATCCCTCCCTCCCCAGCCCTCCTCCTTCCCCACTTTTGTGTCGGCTGTTCGTTGATAATTTCGGAGCTTTGTGCCCAGCTGGCTTCACTCTGGCTCCAAACGTCCCGGGATGAATCCACCGTACTCCCAGATGGATTTGCACCACCAGAGCACGCCCTGAGTGATGCGTTTTCCTTCCTCCAAGACCTCGCCTACCCCAGGCTTTGCCTTTTTGAGGCTGTTTGTCGGTGATGACAGCTTGGGGAGGTCCCCAGGCTCTTCTCTAGCAGCTGACTTCGCCAAGCAACTCGCGTGTCTCGGCAAGGGCTTGGCCTCACAACCCAGAGGGGCTCCGGGTCTTAAATAACGGTGTCACCAGGAAGGGAGGATGCCCGGGATCCACCTCCCGCCTGGATCGTCTTGCACAACTTGATGGGTGGGATGTGCTGGCTCTCTTCATCTCTGACGGGGTGATTGCAACGGTCCCATCTGTGTGTGTTGTTTAAGTCTTCATCCTGATGTTTTTTGGAGGGTTTTTCTCCTCCCCTGATGCAGCCCGGCCCTGCACAGGCAGGAGAGTGAAGCAGGAGCTGAGGGTTTCTTGCCCAGCATAAACCCCAAATGCTGCGGGGAGGGGAGCATCTTGGCACGGTGTCTGCAGGGCTGCTCGGCCTCCCAACCACCCCGCCCAGTGCTCCTCCATCCTCCACCCCAGCTGCTCCCTGCGTCCCATCCCACCAGAGCTGCCTAGATGTGGGCAAGAGGAGATGTTCTGGTGGTTGATGGATCACAGGCCTCACTGCTGTGGGAATAGCTCTGAAGGATGAATGCCAAAGCCGAGGAGCCAGCAAATGGGATCAGCCCGATGACATGCCCATCCCCAAGCTCCACTTCTAACCCCAGGAATTAGGGAAAGGGAATAAGGGACAACACATCTCTTCCCTGGCTGTGTTCTCCCAGCCTCCAGCTCTTACAGAGCAGATGAGACTGTCTGTTGCCCATGGTCATCCTCCGGGGAACTTAGCTCCCTTCTTGGCCTGTCCATGCCCTTGACCTCCTCAGTGTCCCATGGGACTGTTTTCTGAGATGGTAGATGAGACTGAGATGAGATGAGATGAGATGAGATGATGAGATGAGATGAGATGAGATAGGAGGTGGTGGCAGAGGACAGGGTGGACGCACTGAAGCAGCTGATTTTAAGGAGAAGGACAGCTCCAACCCCATCCCACCAAGTGCCCTGAGCAGGCACCCCCCATGTCCCTTCAAGGGTTAACAGAATGGAGGTGGGGGCCTCGTGTAGGTTGTTTCTGAGTGTGCCCATAAAACCAGACCACATGGAAGTTGCCATGCTGGAACCGGTGTGGAGCAAGATTTTCATGTCAGCAGCAGTTTTGCTCCAGTGTCGTCTGTGTGGGACCCCGTCCCTTCAGAGAGGGTAAAGTCAGGGTGACAAAACTGAAGACCTTTCCTTGGTGACACTCACTGCAGATGTTTCCAGGGTTGCTTTCAGTTTTGCTCACGCTGGGAAAGTGTCACATTTTGTTGAAGCAAGTGGTTTCCAGCAGCAGGACCTGGGGTGAGGCAGAGGAGGGAAGGACCTGACCTGATCCCAGGAGCACGGCTGGATCAGGCGGAGTTTCCACTGCTCATCCTGAGAGCAGCGCTGAAGAGAAGGATTTGGGGGTGTTGATAGACGAGAAGCTCAACATGAGCCGGCAGTGCGCTCATGCAGCTCAGAAGGCCAACCCCATCCTGGGATGGATCAAGAGAAGCGTGGTCAGCAGGGCAAGAGAGGGGATTCTCCCCCTTTACTCTGCTCTTGTGAGACCC